TCGATAACAGCATTTCTGGCAGTTAAATCTAACAACAAAACATTATTTATAAAAAGCAATCTATTCATATGTTTCTTTAACACTATCATTTGTTTACAAGCATGTTAGCTGTACTTTTAGTTTATGGTTGTCAATTAACCAATTGCCATTGCTCAACGAGGTCAAAGCATTTGAATGCATCCAATTGGTATTTACGACTTCAACTGTTAATTACCACCTTCCCACTTGGTTATGAACTCAGCAGAGGTCGCATTCCCCTGCTCAACCAATGGTTGCGTGCCACGTCATCGACTGTGCCGTCCGGCACCAGATTGCTATAACATATGATGTGGTTAGATTTCAAATACCTATCCAGGCGTTGTAAGATCTGGTATCTGTCAGCAAGGTCTGGGCAGGGGAACATGACCTTAATAATGAACTGACCCATCGAGATTTATAGAGATCGGAATGTTATATGTCTCATTATGGCATCTGTGAGCGCACGGGCTGCAACATTGAGACCATATAAAGCCAAGATTGTTGAATTACTGCCACCTGAAGTTATTAAATGTTTGCTCACGAGTATAGTTACTTTGGCTGATCCCTCCTGATGACCCGAATGGAATTATGTGATCCTTCCTTAACCCGGAAGTCCCACCCAGTTGACTACTTCAAAATGGTGCAAGTCTTCAATGGTACTGCCCATGCTAAAACGTGCTTTTGGGCACTAGAGCCCTCTATACATCTCTATGGAACTGACCACATTCACAGCCATATATCTGTTGCGTTCCACTGCTTAGACTTTGCATGCATCAACCGATGGTTGCATTGCGTACCACGTCATCGACTGTGTCATCAACTGACAGATTGCTATATCATATGATGTGGTTAGCTGATAGGTAAAATACATATCCAGGCGTTTTAAGATCTGGCAACGTCTAAGCAGTGGAATGCGACCACTAACTCAACTACTTCCTGTTTACCTCTAACGATTAGCAAACTTCTGACCAATAAGAATAGAGCCAGGCAGTTGGTAGGTAGATAATCAATTACCATTACCATTCTAAACAACTGATTCACCATATTTTAGAACTACACAGTGACTTAGAAAATAATAAGATCTCTCATAAAATAATCATACACTGGCTAAAATGTAATCTTGTGCACTCTAAGTAAGTGCAGCAGGGACCTTGCAAATGTGCTATCTAGAACCTAAAAGGGTTCTTCGGCTGTCCCCATAGGATAACCCTTTGAAGAACCCTTTTTGGTTCCAGGTATAACCCTTTTGGTTCCAGGTATAACCCTTTTGGATCCATGTAGGTCCCTTTCCACAATGTGTTCTACATGGAACCAAAAAGGGTTCTCCTATGGGAACAGCCGAAGAACCCTTTTGGAACCCTTTTTTCTAAGAGGGTAGGCATCCATGGCATGCAACAGTTAGCAAGAAACTCCCTCCCTTCCCTTCAATCTACTCTGTGTGGCGCTTGACTGAACCTGTCCTGGAAGCAGAGGGTTTGTGGCTGTAGCTACGTCCCTCAGTCTCACCAAAAAACTAATATTACACTGCCACTACCGCTCAGTAAAGAGCTTGAGGTGAATCTGACCATTATGATGTAACACTGGGCTCTTGTGTCCACACACACATACCACACTCTCCCCATGTGCTCTGCAAACAAAACCAATACTTTTATCTATTTGTAAAGTAGTAAAACTCTACTGTACATACTGAAGCTTTCTTCTCACACTTAACCACAGGAGGTTGGTGGCACCTTAATTGGGGAGGATGGGCTCATGGTAATGACTGGAGCGGAATTAGTGGAATGGTTTCCATGTGTTTGATGCCATTCCATTTGCTCAGCCATTATTATGAGCCGTCCTCCCCTAATCAGCCTCCACTGCACTTAACCATCATAAGGCAGTGTTACTCAATCCATTCCTGATGGACCCCGTGGTTGCAACAACAACAACAAAATGTGCACACCCTGGGGGTCAAACAGGAATGGAAGACCTCTGCCCACCAGACAACACCATCATGCTCAGTACCATTTAAACTCTGTCCCTCCTCAGCTCATGAAGTCAGTGACCGAGGCCTGTCCTGACATCACCCATATATACAGCATCGGGAAGAGCCACATGGGCCTCAAGATGTACGTCATGTAGATGGAAAGCATGAGCTGGGTAAGAAGATATAGTTTTATCATAAGGCAATACTACATAACGTATCTACAGTATCATTGCTATAGTACTTTGTACAGTATGCTCTCAGAGACTGGAGTCAACCCTTGTCTACACTGACATGTCGAAAGTGTTTGCTTTGCGCCCATTGAATCGGTCTGCCAGTACTGGCAACCGCTAATACCCTTTGCCGACAGAATTTATAATGGAAGAGAGAGAGCCAGGAATGCCGCAGCATAGACGGAGAACTGGTTAGCCTGCATACTGGAATAGAGAGGAAAACCCTATTATATAGAGGGTGACTAGTCTTAATATGTCAACACTGGAAATTGTTGGCCTGTTTTGTAAGGAGTAAAAAGCTTTCAATGGTTTTTGTCTGTCAACTTGACTGAATGTGTATTTGTTAATCTCCAACTCTCTTGGCAGAGGTTAAGCCAGACTGTAGTTTAATGTTCCACTGGTAAATGCCTCTGTCTCTTCATGTCATGTGCCAGTATTTACAATGTGAACTCACAGATAGTGGGTTCATAGTGAGAGAAATGTTCCTTGTTTCTTTTTTGTGGGGTTCCTTCCTATGTGATGTAACCCTTAATGTGTTGCTGTAACACAAGGCTTAAAGAACGACTGCACTTCCTGATTTGGCCTCGTTTTGAAGATTTCTCATTAAGAAATGCTAGCGGCCATGACTGAAGCCAAACAAGAGTTGTCTTAAGGGTGAGGTTTGATGTGGGTGTGTTATGTTTGCATATCATACCCTGGCTGGTACTGTTGTTTGTCCCTCCTGAGTCACTGTAGCAACAACATAGCCACTAGTCTGAATTAATCTAAGATAAATCAATAAATCTGTAATTAATTTAGGCCACTCCATAAAGGGCTTAGGGCCAAGGGTTATTTCAACATAACGTTGGTGACGTGTTGTCTTATGTAAACAAGTCTGAGGCTCTGCGTAAAGGGCGGATCTGCTGTCTGGAGATTCTGGCTGCTATCTAGAACCTAAAAGTGTTCTTCTGCTGTCCCCATAGGAGAACCCTTTGGAGAACCCTTTTTGGTTCTAGGTAGAACCCTTTTGGTTCCAGGTAGAAAGAAGAACCCTTTTCACAGAGGGTTCTACATGGAATCCAAAAGTGTTCTACCTGGAACCTAAAAGGGTTCTACCTGGAGCCAAAAAGGGTGCTCCTATGGGGACAGCCGATGAACCCTTTTGGAACCCTTTTCTCTAAGAGTGTATGATTGGATAGAGTGCACAGAGCTGATAAAGCGCAATCACCACAGCTGCTTCTCTCGTGTTAGTGGGCACTGGCCAAGTGGGCATTATTTCAATCCATACCCAACCCTCCAGTAAGTCGAGACGAACTCACTTACAAAACTCTGTTTTGCACGAGACTGACTTTATAACCAAGATTATCCTAATTACACTATGTAGTCAATTTTGACACTAGAATGAATGTTTCTGACTCAAATCGATGCCACATAGGCCCTTTAAAACCAGATAAGTTGATTCTAGGGGCAATTGACCTTTAAGGTATGCTGCTGTTACTGGACCTTATAATCACTTTTATGGCTGTGAAAAATAAAGGCAAGACAACAGAAAGGAGAGGACAGAATTGTAAATAGTATGTTTGAGGGTGTCTGAGGTTGTTGTTGTCAAAAGGATGTTCTGTCTGTAATTTCCATGCTTTGTCACGGTCAGGTCCTGTGCCATTTAGACTCCCTGGACACGTGTTTTCAATCAGCAATGCATTGAATCTGTGGCTAAGACTAGTGGCTTTATTTTATTTTCCAGAGAACACATAGAGCCCCGAGTTGATTAGCTAGCAAGTTTACTAGATAGCTACAGTAGTTGCCATGGTAACCAAACAAACAGACTTGCTAGTTTAGCTAACCAAACCATGCGTCCTAGCTCTCTATTATGAAAATCAAATTCAACAATACCAATACTGTTTTCAATTCAACTTTTACTTTCAAAACCAGCTCAAACAAAACTTGTACAAATGTACTATAGCCATTGAATTCTAACATGCAAATATACTGTGCATTATAGTGAAATAATGCACGCTCTAGAATGCCCTTCAAGCCAATCAGAAAGGAGTATCTCACAATGCTATGGTATAAATGAGGGTAAACCTTTATATATACAGTCATTTGGGTAAACCAGAATGGCATGGAAGAGTAGCATCTAACAGTAAGATACCCCCACCCCAGTGATGAAACCTTCTTCCCGTTAGATTTCAATTGTCTGTCAGTAACCAAGTTTCCATCCACAGTTTTTATGCGAGTAAAGTCATGGCATATAAAAAAACAATCGCGACAAGTGTGATGGAAACAGAAAGTGTCGGTACAATATTATAAATGTCGACAGACAATTTGTTCGTTCGACATGGTGGGATCTTTTTGTGTCGGTAAAATTAATTATGCGATAAACACAAAGTGGCATGATACTGGACAAATGCAGCATTGGGTGTATATACCACTATTCTAGGAAAATTCATGCAACAAATGATAGACCAAACTCATTAACCAATTTGTAATTCGCTCTGGATAAGAGCGTCAGCTAAATGACTTAAATGTAAATGTGAAATGAGCCTAAAATGACTTATGTATTTTGCCACATAGATGAGAGCTCTGCTGTTACAGTCTGGAACTGATTAGAGTTCTATACATGAGATATTTTATATCTATTAACATGAAGTTATGTGTTCTTATATTTTTGTTTGTTTGATACATTTTTATACTACTTAATTAAATAAAAATGCTGGCATTTGTCCTTGCAAGCTAAGAGAGAATGTTACAAATGGATTCCAAGTAAAGCTTTTCTTATAACACCAATAGTTCAAATCCATGTCTTATTTGCTATGGAGCTGTATATCATGTTGCAGTCGGTGTCCTCCACGGCGTTTGCGGCTGACAAATCGACACCATAGGGACATGATCAGGGATAGGACCACAAAGGCCAGTGCCACAGAAATGCCCACCCACATCACCACCGACAGCTACCCGCTTCTCTGCAAACGAGGAATAACAAGCATCAGACACACCATCTAGACAGTATGAACATATCAAACACACAGCCGAGCCCCAAAACAACATCAGCACTCAACAAACATCAAAATCCCCTAAATAATGTGACAAATGGATCAAACACTTCAATAATGTAACACATGCATTAAACACTTAAATGTAGCAATATAAAACATGACATTTCCAGAGGAACCAAAGGAAATCTGACACAGATATCTGGGAATATATTTTCTCCCCCTTCAGAACTGCTACAGTGTTCTCATCACCTTTTTGTGGTGGATTCCCACCAGCAGAGCAAATGTGCTGAGATGGTTTGACATCACAGAGGTGCAACCCCGCCCAGACCACTCCCCCGGTCCATTCCCATCCGACCAATAAACACAAGTGGAGTCAACATCACTGGACTAGGATACAGTGTATATATGAGTTGGGGTTAATTCCATTTTCACTCAGTCAATTCAGGAAAAAATTTGACTTCATGGAAAATATATAAATGAAAAACATGTTTTACTGACAGCCAGAGACTATTAAGAAGAGACACAAGTGTTACCTGCAGGTGATTGAAGGTGAGATTAACCGGTTGGGGCAGGTTTGTTGTGTTGGAGTTGCTAACGGACACCGTCTCAGCACTGGACATGAGCTGCTGGCTCTGATGAGAAAAACTGTCCTTCAGAGTATCCAGATTCTTATAGCTGAGCAGAACGACAAAGGCAAACCCTGCACACAAAAAACAAACACAAGAAAACATAAGGCCTGATACAAAAACATGTGCAACAATATCCCAAGCGAATCCATCAATGTGTGCCTGTAATAATATTTTGAGAAGATGATTGGTACTGTAGGACTGCGGCTACCTGGGTAATTCTGGTAATCTCCAACCGCCGTCTCCCAGGTGGTGTCAAGTTGAGTGTTCTCATTGGTCAGGCTGACTGGTCCTTCAGGTGGAGTCTTGTCTCTCCTCACCATAATCTCAGCCTCTGTTTATCAAGATAGACAAAATCAACACAGATCAGAAATCACCATTACTGAAAGAACACAATCTTGCATTTATTTAATTTTTACATTGTCACAATCTAATGTGCTTGTTAGTGCTCCGTTTACAGTCAGTATGGTGTTCAGATTGTGGTAACCTATGGTACCTGCGTGGTGGTTGGTAAATTGTAAATATGTGGTCAGCGTGTGCTCAGTGTGTGTGTGTTACCTGTGTGGTTGGTCTCTATCCTGGTCACGTTCTCTGTCAGCTGTGGAGCGATCAGTCTGATAGAGATTTCAACTGTCCTCAGTAAGCTAGTCACTTCACTGCTACTACGGTGACCGTTGGACTGGAGGCCCAATTGAAGAACATCAGTGGCATTAACCAGTAACTATAGAAGAGAGACATAAGGGTTGTATACCTATGTTTGTGTGTGTGTGTGTGTGTGTGTGTGTGTGTGTGTGTGTGTGTGTGTGTGTGTGTGTGTGTGTGTGTGTGTGTGTGTGTGTGTTTCTGTGTGGTGACTTACTGTCAAAAGCACATTTCCTGTAGGTCCAGACAATGTAGATTTACTCAACATCAAACAGATGTTTCTCAGAGACAAGAAACTGCCAAAGCCTGGTAGAGTCTGGGAGGGAGATAAATAAAGAGAAAGAGAAAGAGGAGCGAGAGAGGAAGAGGAGAGAGAGAGAGAGAGAGAGAGAGAGAGAGAGAGAGAGCGAGAGAGAGAGAGAGAGAGATGTGGGAGAGAGAGAGAGAGAGAGAGAGACAGAGAGAGAGAGAGAGAGGAAGAGGAGAGAGAGAGAACATAAATACATACACTACCAGATCAAGTGAGGTATGCTTCTCTAAATTCCAAGCTTACTCATTATTTAACATGAAGAACTTACCTGTCCAGTCGTACCCTGTGTTTCATCTTGGTCACAATTTAGCTCTGAAGAAAAAACATGAAGGAAAATTATCCCAATACCCCACAAAACCAGGTCTACATACCTGCTCTACCACATGCATGACAAAGGAGTGCATCATGGACGACAGGTGGAATGGTGCTTGTCTCTCACCTACACACTTAGTTTGGTTGTTGCCGAAGTTAGTAAATCCAGCAGAACACTGGCACCAGTAGCTGCCATTCAGGTTTTGGCAGATCCCCCTCTTTCCACATACTCTGTCTATCTTACACTCGTTAATGTCTGAAAGGGAAAGAGAGAGGATGAAAGTGTGGAATGACAAGGAAAGGACGTCACACACACAAACACACACATGAACGCAAGACGCACGCACGCGCACACAAACATTTTGCCAGTGATATTCTTGGGCTCTAATCTAAACCCAGGAAGACACAGTAGTAACTGCCTGTGGTGTTGACGCAAGATCAATTGTCCCCACAGATGGGGAGAATGTCTATACACTCATTGATATCTAAATAATATTGATGAGTCCAAGTGTACAAGAGTTTAAAATGTTTGCACCTGCATCACCGAAATGGTACCTTTTCGGTGGCGCAACTGGCTAGTGTGTTGTCAAGCGGACAGTTATGTGTGTTTGCTAGCTACCAACAGTATTGAAACAAGCTGAATTGTCCCCACAGATGAGTGAGTTGTTACTACACTCATCGATATCTATATGACACAACATATACAAAATAACGTTATGACATGTGTAATGTAGTTACATGGCCATTTAAAAGCACAGGTTTTGGCTCGTCTCAAACTCAAGGTAGCCATAAGACTATTGGTTTAAAGCCATATACATCAGAGGAAAATAATGTTATTTCTCACCTACACACACAAGGTTCATACAGACAGCATCCTTACACTAATCTACGTATATATCTACATGAGAAAGGCCAGATAGGTATTTAAAGTTGTGACAGAGATCATATTTAAGTCAAAATAGATACATATTTTCTGAATAAAGACAACCCTTGAAGTGAATGGTGTTGAATGTTCTTGATCAAGGTCTGGTTAATGCTGGAGAATAAACAAATGAGCCATTTATAAATTGCTGATTTAGGTGAATATTACTGATCAACCTAACAATACAATAATTTAAAAAATGTAAGTCTAAAATACATTACACATGAATATATCATATCACCATCAGTCTTCATCATCATTAACATCACAAATAGCATAATACAAAATCCCCTTAGCTTCATCTCCACCTTTCTGTGGAGCTCCATGACCATGGTCCTTGAGAAGCGCTAAATGAAGACATAAACAAAGGTTGAACTGCAAACATACATACATAGCTTTTAAATAGACTAAATTATGATATTTTAGTCAAATAAAAAGCTGAACATTTACTGACCCAGAATCAGGAGAAATATAATTGCTCCCATGCTCGCAGCTCCAGCAGCGCGCCGACCCCGGCCTCGGGGACGGCCAGGAGGACGCGGAGCAGGGCGAGCCGGATAGTGACGGTGGAAATCCTGCAATAGGGAGGGATCGAGGATATCCCTCACCGGGACCCAGCACCGTTCCTCCGGGCCGTACCCTTCCCACTCCACAAGGTACTGAAGGCCCCACACCCGACGCCTCGAATCCAGGATGGAACAGACGGAGTACGCTGGGGCACGCTCGATGTCCAGAGGAGGTGGAGGGACCTCCCGCACCTCAGACTCCTGGAGCAGACCAGCCACCACCGGCCTGAGGAGAGACAAATGAAACGAGGGGTTAATACGGTAATCAGGGGGAAGTAATAACCTATAGGTGACCTTGTTGATTCTCCTCAGGACTTTGAACGGCCCAACAAACCGCAAGCTCAGCTTCCGGCAGGGCAGGCGGAGGGGCAGATTCCAGGTCGAGAGCCAGACCCGATCACCCGGTACGAAGACAGTGGCCTTACTGCGGTGGCGGTCAGCGTTGGCCTTCTGTCGACGCACGGCGCGTTGGAGTTGGACGTGGGCAGCGTCCCATGTCTCCTCCGCGCGCTGAAACCAGTCATCCACCGCAGGAGCCTCGGTCTGGCTCTGGTGCCACGGTGCCAGAACCGGTTGGTAACCTAAAACACATTGGAATGGCGTTAGGTTAGTGGAGGAGTGCCAGAGAGAGTTCTGGGCATATTTGGCCCATGGCAAGAACATCGACCACTCCCCCGGCCGGTCCTGGCAGTAGGACCGCAGGAACCTACCCACATCCTGATTTACCCATTCCACCTACCCATTACACTCGGGGTGGAAACCAGAGGTCAGGTTGACCGAGACCCCCAGACGTTCCATGAATGCCTTCCAGACTTTGGATGTGAACTGGGGACCTCGGTCAGACACTATATCCTCTGGTACCCCGTAGTGCCGGAAGATGTGTGTAAACAGGGCCTCCGCAGTTTGCAGGGCCGTGGGGAGACCGGGCAGAGGAAGGAGGCGACAGGCCTTGGAAAAGCGGTCCACAACGACCAGGATGGTGGTGTTACCTTGGGAGAGGGGAAGATCAGTCAGGAAATCAACACTCAGGGGAGACTATGGTCGTTGTGGAACTGGTAAAGGTTGTAACTTTCCCGCTGGGAGGTGCCTAGGTGCCTTACTCTGGGCGCACACCGAGCAGGAGGAGACATACACCCTCACGTCCTTAGCCAAGGTAGGCCACCAGTACTTTCCGGTCAGACAGCGCACTGTACGACCGATACCTGAGTGACCAGAGGAGGGTGACGTGTGTGCCCAGTAGATCAGACGATCACGGATAAGAGCAGGCACGTACTGCAGCCCAGCTGGACACTGAGGTGGAGATGGATCTGTGCTTAAAGCCTGCTCTATATCTGCGTCCATCGGCCATACTACTGGCGCCACAATGCAGGAGGCCGGGAGTATGGAGGTATTGTCTCTGGGCCTCTCCTCTGTGTCATACAGCCGTGACAATACTTCTGCCTTCACGTTCTTCGTACCCGGGATGTATGACATTGTAAAATCAAACCGGGTGAAGAATAAATCCAGCAGAACACAGGCAGCAGTAGCTGCCATTCAGGTTTTGGCAGATGCCCCCTGATAGATTAATTTGTATTTTAAGAATAATGATTAAAGGATTTCACACCAAATACAGTATAAATGTGTGAACGGTGTTAGAGTTATAATGTAGTGTCAACCCACTAACAGAGGGGGGGAGTTAGAAACTGCTGAGAAAACATTCCAGGGTGAAGGGGACTGAGAAACTGTTTAAAAGCCTCCTAAAGGTGGGCGGAGCAAAGTGCCTTTGTGTGTCAAGGGTATAAAAGCTGTATACAGTGGGGGAAAAAAGTATTTAGTCAGCCACCAATTGTGCAAGTTCTCCCACTTAAAAAGATGAAGAGGCCTGTAATTTTCATCATAGGTACACGTCAACTATGACAGACAAAATGAGGAAAAAAATTCCAGAAAATCACATTGGTTGATTTTTAATGAATTTATTTGCAAATTATGGTGGAAAATAAGTATTTGGTCAATAACAAAAGTTTCATACTT